CGCGTTGGTGGCACATGCACCGTCCACTCGCGGCTGTGCACCGTCCCCCAAATGGAGCGGGCGGTGCGGGTAATTGACGGCGTGCGTCAATTGTTGGACGCTTCTATCAAGGCAGAAGAGCCCGCGCCCCATCAACGCCCCTCGATATCTCTGGCTGCGGCCGCCGCTAGCGTGAGCGTGTGTCCCAGAGCCTGGCGTGTGCGTCCCGAGAAAAAAATACCAAAAGCGAGGGCGGGCAGGAACTGGGTTACGGTAGGACAGAGCCCGAGCTCCAGTCTAGCCCGCTTAAAAAAACGGGGGCGTGAGCTGGAGCGAACCGAGAAGCCATAGGGACGCCCAAGCGGGGCGCAGAGGTGATATTAGGGCACTGACGCTAGAATTACGTCGGGGCGGCGAGGATGCATTTGAAGGAAGCGGAGGGTGGGACGAGCGAGGCTGGATGCGGGACAGGCACGACCGAGTCAGGCACAGGCTAATTCGTCGCGCAAGCTAATTGGTCCTTCTCAGAGCAGCTGGGAGCAGAGCGGAACGGCATCCGGTCTTCTCCCGCTGCTGCGCGCGCAAGGGGAGAGAGGTAAGACGTTGGGAGGGCGCGGGCGGAGAAATACCAGTGGATGGGCCATAGTGGCTGGCAGTGGATATTCCAGGAGGAGAGGGCACTAGTCGACATTGGAATTGGAATTGGAATTGAAGAGATGCCGCGTTCGGCAAGCGAACGCTGCGACATCTGACACCCAACGTCTTGGCCCAGTCTGGAAAGCGGCCTGCCGTACGTAATATCCTCTCAATTCCCATTTCTCGTCCTTCTCGAGCTCACTCCTTCGTCTCTCCCTCTCCCCGACCACCACGAGCCCCTCCGCCGTCCCCTGCGCAGGTCCCCCGCCTGCCCCCCAACAATGGACGCGCCGTCCCCTCCATCAGAACATCCCTCCCCCGGCCACTCCACACACCCAGCCACAACCCCGGCCCCCTCCAATCAACAGCCCTCGGCGCCCAAGTTTTCAAACGGCCTGTCCGTCTCTCCCCCTCCCATCCAAGCCCATCTAATCCCCCTTTTCTTCCCCAGCCATATCCGCTCCCGCATCACCGTCGTCTGCGCAGAGGTATGCCAGCCTTTGCAGCTGGCCCGACCCCCTTCCTCCCCTCCTAATCCTCGCCTAGTGCAAACGCCTCAAGTTAAAATGCGACAGGCGCAACCCATGCGGCTCTTGCGTCAAGCGTGACACCGTCCAGCGCTGTCAGTACACCGCCGCTGCCGCAGAGAAGATGTCCGTCCCCTTTCCCTTTTGGTCTCTCCCCTATCGGGCCCCGCTTCTGACAGCCTGTGCAGCGATGTCCAGTCCCTCCACAATCGGCTACAAATAGTCGAGTCTCAGATAGCGCAGATCTTTGCCGGCGGCCTCCGCGTTCCCACCGCGCTCTCTAGCTCGTCCTCTGACACCCTTCCGTTCCCCCACAACGACCACACCATGCTCGCTACTGGTGCCTCGGGCTCTTCTGTCACCGTCTCCCTCGACGACGTCGCTGCCCTGTGGCTCGAGCATCTCGATCTCCCGCACTCGTACCCCGTCGAGCCGAGCTCCACCTTGACTCCCAGCGGCTCGCGCTGCTCGACCCCCGTCAAGCTCGAGCCCGCTTCCTCCGACTTGGCTGTGCACGATGAGCCTGCCTTTCCGGACATGATCCCGTCCTTCAACATCTACTACCCCAACTCTACCGCGCAGGCGGTTGTCACGCCCTCGCTCGTCTCTCTGCTCCCGCCCGCACCTACTGTGCGGTCCCGCATCACCGCGGCCATCGAAGAGACCATGAAGATGCGCCCGTGCTTCAACGTGAAGCACTTTCGCTCGCGTGCCGAGAACATGTTTAACTGGGCCAAGGAAGAGGACGGACGGGGTGCTGCTGGTGTCGCCTCTGGCAGCACCAATGCAAAGGCCGATCTCGCGCGGTCTCTGTTCTTCCCGTCAGCCCACGCGCCTACTCCTGTCGCCGCTAGCCCGCGACCAACCCCGACTCTGTCTTTCTTTGCCTCTGTCTCTGCCGCTTACGCTCTGGGCGTCTTGGTATGCAAAGAGAATGAGGCGATCGGCGACATGGATGCCCACAAGGCCGGGCCCAGCGCGAAGAACCCGCGTCTGGATGACAATCGCTCTGCGTCGTCGCAGAAAGCCGCCACGTGGAACAAGTTTTCTGCCTCTGGACTCTATGCGCTGTCCAGGCAATCCATGGCGGCGTTTGAAATGGCACATACATACGATCTGGACTCGGTGATCACGTACCTCTTGCAAATCATCTATCTGCTCCATGACAGCCGTCCCCGCGTCGCACACTATGTCTATCCGCTCTTGGGAAAAGTGATTCACATCGCTCACATGATGGGTCTTTCCACGGACCCTGACGAGTTTCCGGGCAAGTATAGCCTCTTTGAAGCCGAGCAGCGGAGACGCATCTGGTGGGATATCTATTATTACGACGTGTAAGTCCGCTCTCTATGCCGTTTTGTGCCTTGCTAACCGTTCTCCGCCTATCACCAGGTTCATTTCCGATGCCATGGGTCAAGCACCCTCAATACAGGACGGCACGTATACGACCAAGATGCCTGCTGACGTGGACGAGGAGCAGTTTAGCCCGTCTTCGACTTCTCTACCGCTCCCAGTGCCCCGCCGCGCCGGTGGCGATCCGACAGAAGTCGGTTTTGCTTACTTTATTCAAAAGTGCCGGTTCGTGCCGACCTCCCGCACTGTCATTTCTGCCCAGCCTGACCGCTCGCATTGACTCTAGGTTGGCACAACTGGTAAAGGGCGTCAAGAAGCGGTCTCTGCGCGAGTCGAACGACCCGTCCGAGACGTCGGTGGAGCGTGCGGAGCAGTTCGAGTCCGAGGTCAAGAACTGGCTGTCAGAGCTCCCCAGGGTATTCCGCTTTGACGCGGAGAACAACGACACCATCCAGTCGGCGTCGTCCAAAGTCCCCGTCTCGCCGAATCTCCAGGCGCAGCGCTGCGAGCTCGCCATCATCGCCAACCAGCTCATCTTGAAGATATTCCTCCCCTATCTCAAGAACTGCACCGAACCTTCGTCCGACGTTCCCACCCGGCGTGTGGTGTCGAGCATCGTCGACGCAGGCCACGCGGTCCTCCAGGCGATGCGCGTCCTGCACACGACATGGCGGCAGACACGGCCGGCCGCGTTCCTGTTCTACTCTTTCGGACGGACACTATTTGACACTGCTGTCCTGATGGCGTGCGCGGTCATTGCCTATCCATCAGGCGCATCATCAAGCGTAGCCATCGGTGACGTGACGAGCGCCGTCGACATCATGAAGGACACGCGCCAGGGTTCTGGCAGGAAGCCCAAGGAAGACGGCGAGAACGACTTGTCAGAAGCCGTGAAGATTATCACGGTTTTGAAGAACAAGGCCGAGGCGAAGCGCGTTGGCGAAGACATCATCGCCAGCCCTCTTTTATCCGCCGGCTCGAAGCGGAAGCACACAGATGCCCCTGATACTGACGGCTTCCAAGATGGCTTTGAGCTCCCGTATGTCGGTGCGGGCGTCAAAGCGTCGCATCCGTCGTCGTCCTCCTCCTCGTCGGATCAGGGACCCGATGCTGGCTCCAGGGGGTCGAGCGCTGCCTTCAAAGTCAAAGTGAAGCAGCGCGAGAGCTCCGTCGCCCCAGATCTTTCAAGCCCATTGGACAGTTTCCCACCGCCCGAGAAGGACATGGGACAAATTCCGGTGCGCGGACGTCCGCGGACAAATTCGACCGTCCGCCACCGCCACTCGTCCTCGAAGAAGCACCCACCGCCGACCGCGGCGCCCGCGCACCCGCAGCCTGGGACGCCTGCGCCGGACCAGCCGGGCTTCCACCCCATGCCCGAGCTCACACGGCCCGACTCGCGCTCCCACGCGCCGCCGATGGGCTACGGCACGCCGCTCTACCCTTCCACGTCCACGTACGACGCGCCGCAGCAACAACCCCAGGCGCACTTTGCGATGCCACCGCCGCAGGCGCCACCGATGCACGCGAGCCCGGGCTACGCAAGCCTGAGCGGCAGCGGCAGCTCGTCGCAGTCGAGCCCGGCGTACTCGGCGGGGCCGGGGCCCGTGCCGTCGCCGCACGCGTACGGCGCCCCGCCGCCGCAGGACGCGTTCTATGGGATGCACACGCCCACGACGCCCGTGTACGACTCGCCGATGGCTGCGCTCGGCGGCGGCGCGCAGGAGGAGCCGCCGTACATGGCGATGGCGCTCGGCGACGCGCACGGGCGCAGGCTATCGTTCCCGCACCAGCAGCACCAGCACCAGCAGCAGGGCGCGCCGATGGGTCAGATGCAGACGCTGCCGTCGCCGCAGTATGGCCATGGCGGGATGCAGGGGTCATGGCCGCCGCAGCCGCAGCCACCGCCGCCTGACGACGGCATGGGACCGCGCGTGCATCCGGAGGCGCAATGGCGGGAGTTCGGGAAGTATCATTGACCGTGTCTTTCGTCTCTCATTCACTCGCATCGTACACGACCTATGCATTCCGCTCGTTCCGCGTTCGCTCCCTGCCCCTGTCCTTCCCTTTTGTCACTCGGTATGCTTGATGCACCTCTCTACCCACCCACGTCGCTTGCTCTCTTCTGCCGGTCATTCACGGACACACCGCTATACCACTGCTGCCGCCGCCGCGTTCGTCTTGTTCGTATATTTAACATATTTTACCGCGCTGGATATTGTATCTTCTACCGCCATTGTCGCCGTCCTCTTTGGGTCCCCGCTCCTACTTTACTACTACCATGTCCGTCCGCCATGTCCTGTCTGTTCTTGCCCATGCCGGCTTTGGCCTATGACTTTACGAAGTGCCGACTACTTGTAGCCCATGCGTCATGATCTCCACTATGTTAGACTCACCCATTCGCCAGCAGCGAAGCTGGGACCGACGAATTGAGATTGGTTGAGCTGATGGTTCAGTAGCGTCGGGATGGTCGAGCTCGGCTTATCGTCGGGTTGTAAAAAGACAAGGCGCTACCAGGGTTCGAACCTGGGTTAGCGGAAATTGCCGACTGTCAGAATCCGCTGTGATAGCCACTACACTATAGCGCCGTTGTAGTCTCTTTGGGACGCCGCGCACACGAACCCGTCGACATCTCTGCATTGCTGCAGGTGCTGGGCTGCATGATTGACTGTGGACACTTTTTACGTCTGGCATGCTTAGCGCAACAGCACCCTTCACTCGGTTGGCACGCAACCGGCGTAAGTATCTGAAGTGCAGTGCATCACAGAGCTGAGCTCAGACAGCGTCGCCAGCACGACCGGGGACTCTAGCTGCGTATAACGGCATCACTCGATCGGGATTCGGCCCTCGCGCACGGTGTGTCTGATTCAAGCTGATTCAAGTTGTCTGGTTATGTATTGGTGGCGTATAAGTACACACAACCGCACGGAGATCATCGCCTGTGCAGAGCACGGCCACGAGATAGGCTGCAAGGTTGCGACGTCCCCTTGGGGCCTCCCTGCCGTTGCAACAATGCAGGACGATCACATCAGTGTGGCGTCGCAGAGCTTAACCGAGTAGTGCGCAGGTCAAGAGCCGACAGAGCGATCTGATCAAGCACACGACGAACACGACGGCCACCGTGCCGCACCCTCTCAATGGGGCACACTCACCGCGACGCCGATAAGAATAGGGTTCACGGAGAAAAATGCATCGGAAAAGGGACTCGCCGGTCTATTCGTCGCTGTGGCTATTCATTACAACATCCATCTCGTTCATGCCCCCGTCCTCGCCCGCGCGCGAGGAGAACACCTCGCCGCCCGCGGCGAGCGAGTCGATAAGCAGCGCGAGGCGCGACGTTGTCATGCTCGGCTCCTGCGCGCACCGTCAGCGCCACACAGCACACAGCACAAGCAACACCACCGGGGCGGCGCACCTTGCGGATCTGCTCGAGGTCGTCGCCGAACGCGTCCGCCACGGACGCCATCCAGTACTGCCGGAAGCGGCCGCGCAGCGCCTGCTCGTCCTGCGCGCGTGTGCTGGAGCCGTCGGGGGGTAGGAACGCGGGGAGGGGCGCCTCGGGCGGCGGGGAGGCCGAGGGCGACCGGGGCCTGCTGGGCGCTGGGCGGAGGGGCTTTGTAGAGGGCGGCGCGTCCGCGTCGGATTCGGAGTCCGACGACGCCGAGGAGGACGAGGATGAGGAAGAAGACGAGGACGAGGTTGCTGGCAGGGGTGGCAGCGCCTGCTTTTTCGCAGGTTTTTTGAGGGTGACCTTGGTCGGTGCCTCGTCGCCGGACGAGGAGGCGTCTGAGGGACGAGGACGAGGATGCGAGGCGCCGCTTGCGCTTCCTGTTGCGCTTGCGTGGCGGGGCTGGCTTGGCTGGGGGCATGGCGTCGGTTCCCTCCCGAGCCTCCGTAGAGAATACTTTGGCCCGCACCAGCGATTGACGCGGAGGAAAAGAGCAAGAGCAAGTTGCAAGTCGGGCCGGGTAGCCGACGGGTGCGGACCGGGCGCGTGCTGCGAACGCTTTGATCCCGGGGTGGCGTTAGCAGACGCGCCCCGGCCAGTATCTGCAGGATGCCTCGATGGCCACCGACTTTTGGGCCAGCTCGCACAAGTACGGATCGCTTTCCTAGAGCTCGATTAACTGGGCACTGATGCGGGCGGCGCAGCAAACGCTGGATCCTCGACCGCGCGCGCTCAAGCAGGCCCGCGCCGAGGATCTCCAATACGTCGACTCGCCAGAGCACATCGACTTTCTGAATATCTACTTTGCGAACCGTGCGTCCCCGCGGGGCATCCGTCGTCGTCGTCGTCGTCGCAGCTCATCGCGCTACAGTCATCGCGATGCTGGGCAAGCGGTTGTCCCTGCGGCAGCGCGTCATCGCGACCGCGACCGTCTTTTTCCGCCGGTTCTACGTCAAGAACCTGTACTGCGAGACCGACCCGTTCATCGTCATCTCTGCGTGCTGCTACGTCGCCGCCAAGGCGGAGGAGTCGCCCGTGCACATCAAGAACGTCGTCTCCGAGTCGCGCATCATGTTCGCCCGTGCGTCCCCCCGGCCCCTCCGTGCTGACCCTGCCGCTGACCCCGCGCAGAGGAGGGCTACGGCATCAAGCACTTCCCGTCGGACAACTCGAAGCTCGCCGAGATGGAGTTCTACCTCGTCAGCGACCTCGAGTGCGACCTCGTCGTCTTCCACCCGTACCGCACGCTCCTCGCGCTCTGCGGCCGCGAGGCCGCGCACGCCAGCACCGCCGCCGCCGCCAGTACCGCCGAGGCCGGCGAGCTCGGCGCCGGCGTCGGCGCCGACAGCGGCCCGCGCTACTGGGGCACCGGCAAGGGCCGCCTCGAGCTCGAGGAGGGCCCGCTGCAGACCGCCTGGCACGCCCCCCTCACCCCCGCGTCCTGCCCCCGCCCCGCGCGCTGACGCCCCCCGCGCCCTCCGCAGGTTCATCCTCAACGACACGTACCGCTCCGAGCTGTGCCTGCTGCACCCGCCGCACCTGCTCGCGATCGCCGCGGTCTACCTGACGCTCGTGCTGAACGACAAGACGCGCGACGCGGTGCGCGCGCACGCCGCGCCGCCGCCGCCGCCGCGCCGCTCGTCGCGCACGAGCGCGGGCGCACAGCCGCGCGGGCGCGCCGCCGCGCAGCAGCCGCAGCAGCAGCAGGACCTCGTCGGGTTCATGGCGGGCCTGCGCGTGTCGCTGCCCGCCGTCGCGGGCATCGCGCAGGAGATCCTCGCGCTGTATACGCTGTGGGAGCGCTATGCGGACGCGGCGCCCGAGGCGGCGCTCGGGGGCGGCGCGGGCGCGGGGGACGGCGCGGGCGAGGGCGCGGTGACGCCTGCGTTTTTGACGGGGCTGTTGTTCCGCATGCGCGAGGCGCGCCTGGCGGACCTTGCGCACCCGGCGAGCGGGCAACCGGTCGCAGTGAACAAGCGGCTTGAGCGGACGCAGGCGGCGGGGTGAGGGCGTTGTTAGGATTTCTTTGTGTGTTTCGTGTACTGTGTGTGCTCTGTGAAATGATATCACTGTACGATCCCGCTTTTGCTCTACCATGCTCGAACACAGGATAGCATGCTCGATTGCACCTGAGACATAGAAACACGCAAAACACAATCGATCGATATACATATAGCACACCGCACGCCTGACTCCAGCCAAAAAAACACATCCGGCCTCCTCCCTCAGCGCCGCGGCGCGTCCTCAAAGTCGGCAAACGGGTCGTCCGCCAGGTCCTTCTTGTCCGCCTCGCCGCCGCCGTACGACGGCAAGCTCTTGTCGAACCCAGGCGGCGGGCCCGCGGGCGGCGCGTATGGCTCGTGGTCATAGTGCACCTCGGGCAGGTCCGCGGTGCTCTCGCCCGCACCCGCGGCGTACGAGGGGCCGGCGCCGTACGCGGGGGTGTAGGACGCAGGGAGGCGCGCCTGCGCGTTGCCTGACACGCCGGCGGTCTCTTGCTGCGCGTAGGCAAAGGCGACGAGCGTGAAGAGGCCCATCATGACTGTGGCTGGTGATTAACGTGGTTAGGGGCGGGGCGGGGAGAGCACGCACTGATCACGCCGAGGAGCCAGAAGATCTCTGAGACCGAGTCGCGCTTCCAGGCAGATTTGCAGACTGTCAGATGGTATGTAGGTGTTAGGTGTGGGCGGGGAGGCCGAGGGATGGACGCGCACAGCTGTTCGCCTCCTCGGGCGTGAGGTTATCCTTGGGGTTGACCTCCCATATGCCCCAGCGGAAGACGACGTCGTGGCCTTGGGCGAGCGCCGTGCACTCGGTGATGAGTGCGTCCTGTCGTGGCCGAGTGAGACGCGCAGCGGCTGCGGCACGGGCGCGCGCACCTTGAGCATAAAGTGGATGATCGTCCGCAGGAGGCCCGCGGCGATGACGATAACGGTCGCCACGACCATCAAGAAGGAGAATATGCGGATGAGGGCGAGGCGTTTCTACGCGCCACACACGCCGTGAGTCGGAATACTCGACGAGAGAGGGATGGTAAGGCGTACTGTGGCACCCGCTACGACGCCAAAGACGAATATCGCGGTGGCGCCGGCGTACAGCGAGCCGAGGACGATGGCGAACGTGGCGAGGCGCTTTTCATGTTCTGTACCAGCGTGAACGAAGGCATTGAGAAACGGCACCCAGGTGAGACTCACGGTCTCTGTCCGTCTTGAGCTCCTGGAAGAGACTGATCTGATCACGAAGCCCGTCAACCGCGTGTTCCCCATGGGGCTCTCCGCACTCACCGACCTAGGTTATGCGCGGGGCGCAGCGACGCGTCAGCAGTGTGCACAAAGCGGAGACTCAGGGGTATCTCTCACCAGACGAGCGACCAGATCGCGCCGAGCACCGCGACTGTGACCGGAACGTCAGCCTCGGGCGGTGGTGATAAGCAGGTGCGCGGCTGAGGCGGGGAACGCACAAGGGATGACGACGGAGCGCAGGCTGGAGGTGGTAACGCGGCTCACATACGCATAGGCCGGCGGTTGGTCTGCGAGCACGGGGATAGGTTAGTGAATCGACCTTGGCGACAGGGGGCTTGGCATGGAGATGTAAGGACTCGGACGGACCTGCGCTGCTCATGGTTCAATGTTCGATACGAGAGTGTCAATCAGCCAGTGATTGTGGTAGAGGATGAGATGGTGGCCGCAGAGGGCGAGGTGGTTATTGTCGAAGAGCAGTTGTGGCCTGTGCGCCTTCGCCTTTGAGACCGGGCGGCGTTCATCACCCTCCTATCGGCCCCTGCGGCCCGCACCGCCCGATCGTGCTCCTCGTCATTGCGCTACCCAGAGACGTCTTTTGGCACTGCTTCGACGTAGCTGGCCTCCCATCGTTCACTCTGTGCGTCTGCCTCGCTCTGCCTGGCCCTGCCACCGCACAGGCAAGGCCATACACAGCCTCTGACGGTCTCATCGGCCATCGCGGCGCTGGCCTCTCGATTGAAAGGCGTTGTGATCATCGCACAGCTCGCGCGTTGTGAACAGTTCCGCGCAGCAGCTTTTTTCTGGATATGTGCGCTTGGCCACACGCTTACCATCGACACGGGGAGCCCATCAAGCTGGTATAATGGTTGCTGGGTGGCTGTCCAGAGCAGAGATATCG